CCCATGTGAAACTAGCTCTCCCAATTGCAATTGCCCCGCCCCAAAGCCAAACTAGCTCCCAATTGCAATTCCCAATTGCAATTGCCCCGCCCCAAAGCCAAACTAGCTCCCAATTGCAATTGCCCCGCCCTAAAGCCAAACTAGCTCCCAATTGCAATTGCCCCGCCCTAAAGCCAAACTAGCGCCCAACTCCATCAGACTTAATTAATTTTAGCTTCTCAAATTTTACCTTGTAAAATTATTAATGGTGAGATTTGAACTTGAGCTATTTCACATAATAAATCAAACATCTTCCACTTCTTCCGTACAGTCTATTGTTTACATGTCTAATCATCTTTGATGTACTCTTTTCTTTCCATAGATGCTTGATCTCCAAGTCAAATTCATGCAATCTTCTAATCTTAATTTTCTTTCACGAAAATTCTTCTGGGAATCTTTTTGAGTAGTAGCGACGTGAAAATTATATCATTTATCTTCTGCTTCAATTTGTCATTTTCTCCAGACAAATTCTTGATTTTAGACTAGATATATTCTTCTTCTATTTTCATGCATCTTCCTCTGTTTTTCTGTTTTGCAACTTAAATAATTTCCCGATCATGGTCTAAGACTCTACTAGACCTATAAAAATAAAATTGGGGGTTCTACAAATACATATTTAGCATATCAAAACCATTACACTTTATTCCTAACAAGGTTCAATCGTGGGATATCTAAAAATGATAAGTGCACAATATGTGCTGACAAGACCGAAGATGCAGATCATGTTTTGCGCTTGTGCCCAGTAGCAGATGAAGTCTGGAAAGCGGTGTTGGTAACCTCTTATGATAAATTCAAAAGGCTTCCATTTACACACTGGATGGAGAAAGGCATCTCAGACGAAGGAAGTGGTAGCATCCCCTTCAGTATCAACATCCTATTCGCCAAAACAATTTGGTGGGTGTGGAAGTGGAGGAACGAGGTTGTATTTGAGGAACAACTAAACCTCTAAAGTTCAAGGTATCCTGGATTCGATCACAAGTCGAGGAGATCAGTAGGGCCTTCATAAGAACTAATGGCCTCCGGAGTTCATCTGAAATGCCGATCTAGAAGCAGCTTTGTTGGACTAAGCCACCAGAGGAGTTTGCCAAAGTGAATGTGGATGGCTCAGTAACCTCCAATGATAACATAGCCAATTGTGGTGGAACTATTAGGGACTATACCGGTGCTTGGAAACAAGGATTCATTTACAGTATCGAGAATTGTTCTCCATTCGAAGCTGAAGCGTGGGCACTATTGAAGGGCATCCAACTTGCCATAGCTATGGGGTACAACACGGTGATTTTCGAATCTGACTCGAAGGAGGTGTTAACGTATGACAAGAATGCTTCTTATGGTTTGGTTCTCGGTTGAGCACTTGTCAAAGAATGAAGTTGTACGGTTGGGAATGGTACGGAGAGAAATGATAAAACGGGGAGCAAGAACCACCCCAAGTGTCGTTCACTTGAGGATGATAACTTGGAGTTCGTGGAGAACTAAGTGTTGATTAACCAGACATCAAGCAAAAGAGTTCTACTAGGTGATGTTGAGTAAAAGGTGTATTAAAGGTAATAGTGAAAAAAATGCAAGGGTAATTTTTGAGTGATCGGTGAATTGGTAGGAGGTTTGCGGGTATGTTCATTACGCAACGTGTTAGTTTAAGGTGAAGGGCTTCAGGGAAATGGGTTTGCTCAACTCAAGAGAACTTACGCTAAGTAGAGGCGAACGCCTAACACTCTAGGAAACAATCCTTTGTCCTAGGAATTTTATCAAACACATAGCTTACGGTTCTTCCAGGACCTTATCCTCTCAGATCTGAGGGCGGGGAAAGTGGACGGCAAAGACTTCGGTTAGTCACGATCTCTCGCCAACTAACCTCTCTCAAACACCCTTGTGCCTTGTGGCCATCAAAGAACAAGGAGCCATACCAAACCACCAACAACAAGAGCATAACAAGCACAATCCAAATCATAAATCCCTAAGCATTGTAGATCCTAACACATAATCGCAACTCACACACCCTAAACCTCACATAAATTTAGCTACTCATCAAACATCTAAAGGATCTAATAAGATAAATCAAATTGCAACAATCCATCAAATCAAAGCACAAGAACAACAATATTTCAAAGGTGGAAAAGATTGTTTCCACAAAGAGCTATCAACTTGGATCCGATTTTGATGTTTAGATGTAGAACACTTCACAAATCTTTGAAGAAAATAAGAACCCTAATGAACTAAGAACACCTTCTCACTCTAGAAATTGTAAACTTGGAAGAAAAGAAATTGTAGAAGTCTCCCTTTCATCCTGTCCACCGTCTTCCTTTAAACTTGGAATTCCCATTTACGCCTGGCGTCACGCCGTGACGCCGGCGTAAATCGGAAATAGTTGTCTTCCGCGTCCGCTTCTGTCCGGCCTTTCTATTTCTGATTTACACTAGCTCTCATGTCGTGATGATCTCGTAAATGGGAAATAATTGTCACCTCCACATGGCTTTGCTTTTTACACGATCCTCACGTCGTGATGGTGTGCGTGAATGGGAAATAATTCCCATTGTTTCCTCCTTTTTGTGTTTGACTCGTGCGTGAATGACCCTTGGGTGCGCTCCTTCCTCGGCTTCGTTCCTCTAGATCTGTTTTTGCCTCTTTTTCATCCAAAAATACCTACAAACATACAAAGTATAGTAAGTCGGTTGTTTCTATGTCATATCATGATTTTTAGATAATTTGCAGTAAAACACACGCCTTCAAGGTTAAAAACATGCAAAAACACTCCTGCCAAGCTCCTAAAAACTAGCATATTTTGACGCTTATCACGTACATGAGCAGTTCAAGGCCTCCATGCATTATAACTCACAACATATTTGAAGCATGCAAGAAGGAGCTTCGTAGAATGGAAGTATGGCAAATCAACGCAATTTGTCGTGAGCAAAATCGAGTTGTAGACGCCCTCGCAAATAATGCCAAAAAACTTCCGGTTGGCATGCATGTTCTACCAGAACCACCGGATGTATTAGGACGCTTGATCGAAGAGGACAGTTCTGGGATTCCCGTTTGGCGTAGTGTTTTAGATTCTGTTAGTGTGTTGTAGCGAACGTTTTAACTTGGGTATCACCCTTCCAGTTAATTTAAAAAAAAAACAATATATATATATATATATATATATATATATATATATATATATATATATATATATATATATATATATATATATAGACAGATCAGGTGAGAACTAAGTGCCCAGGAGAGAACTAAGAATCAATCACACCGTCCACGTGCCCCAGATCTAACGGATTAGAAACACTTTTAAAAAAGAATTGTGGTGGCATTTTCGTAAATAATTGAACTTTGAAGTGTAAGTAAATTGTGCTAAAAGTGCAATTAACAATTTCATATAGCGCAAGTAAAATGTATTAAAAGTGCAACAAATAATGTACACTGAGCATCAATACTAAGTGCACCAAAAGTTATTATTAGTTACACCAAACATTATCATTAAGTGCACCAATGTAAAAGACGTTATCATTAGGTGCATCAATGTTAAAAAGGTAAATTACTTGTACTATTAATTGAAAATGGTTGCACTTTTAAGTAATTTTACTTGCACATGTTCACATTGAAATACACACATACACATCATGCACCACCACCAAAGCACTCAAAATAACTTATTGACCAGTTAAACCAGCCAAACTTAGTCAAATCAGCCCAATTTTGGCTTATTAGTCATTTGTCAAACACTAAATGCGAAAAGAAAAAAAAAATCAGCATCCCAAAAAAAATTATCACATATAGGCCCTATTTGGTAAAAATTTGGCCTATAGGCCAATTTTAGTTTATTTGACCACTATTAATTGTTTGATTTAGTTAAAATATCAATATAAATGTTTGATTAATTAGTTTTTTGCAACTCCAAAAGGCTAAAATTAAAAAAGCTACTCCAAGCAACTTATTCAATTAGCTTTTTGAGAAAAGAAATTATATCAAACAACTATCAGCTAACAGCTAATTTACCAAACATTTTTCTACAATCAGCTAATGTATCAACTATTTATACCCTCTAATTAACGTAATCAGCTAACAGTTAACAGCTATCAACTAACAGCCATTTTACCAAACTGGGCAATAATTCATTCGAAAAACGCATGGCATGTATCTCAATTATACAAATGTATATACAACTATATGCAATGATAGATATGTGATTTCGAAGAGAGTTAATACCCAAAAGAGTAAATACCCAAAATGGTCCCTCGACTATAGTTAAATTCACAAATTGGTCCTTGACTTTTAATTTTAACCAATTAAGTCCTTAACTTTGCAATTTTAACACGATTTGGTCCTCCGTCTATTTGACCGTTTGTTGATTGTGATTTTTGAGGATATATATGTAATTTCATGGTCCATCGTCGATTTTTTAAGGTTCCGGTTGCATTTTCAGACCGCACTGTTACATTTGAATCCACCGCCGAAAGCAATCTACCAAATCCTGTCGCCTTTCTTCATCCTCCCTTTGGATTCAATGTAGTTGAGTTCGTACCAGAGTAAAGAAGACAACGTGTTTCCGAACCGGTGCAACGTCATCCTGGAGGCCTCCATGTGCTCTGGAGACAAAAAATATCTTCTTAGATTTTTAATAGGAATATACTTTTTAAATTCTTTATTTTCGTGTCTTTCTCATCTCGCATATCTCTTCAAACTATTTCCCAAATTATTATTACCACCACCACCACATAATAATAATAATAATAATAATAATAATAATAATAATAACAATAATAACTTGCATGGGCAGCTCAACGGGTTATAGAGGTGAAACTTTGGAAGAATGACCAGGGAGTGTGGGAGAAACCTCTAGGGGGAGACCAAACAGAAAAAATGTACACGTTTTTCTTGTTATTATTAAATTAAAAGTTGTGCATACAATTGTTGATATATTTAGACTAATTAAAAATATTATTAAAAGCAAAAGCAAATATTTATTTAAAAAATAAAACGGTTGCTCATCAGGAAAAGTTAATTTAACCAAGTAAATAAGACATGTTATAAAATGAGGTTGGGGGGAAGGAGATCTTATTTAGAGTTAGAGACATGCTACTAAGCTGTAAGATTTTGGACGAAACTATCCTAGCTAGCCAAGTAACTAGTAAAAAGAATACAGTACTAATAATTCTTGAATTTTAGCTTTTCTGCAGGATAAATCCTAGCTGTAGCTCCAGATTGTCCCTCCCTATTAGGGATAAACTTCTTGTTCTGAACCAGTTTCCTGTTTGCATCACCGCTTTTTCCCCTCTCTTCTGTCATTGCGATTTCCAAAAATTACAATGATAGATTGTAAAGATAACAAAATATATATATATATATATATATATATATATATATATATATATATATATATATATATATATATATATAACGTATAGTATGAACGTGCATATATGCACGGGTGGGTAGTAATAGTAAAAGTAGGAAACTTATTAGACATGCAGACCATGCATGCCCGTTGTCTTATACGTAAACTGTACTGAAAATCATTGTATTGCAATTGGAAAGAGTAATTGAAGCATGCTCCATCTCAACTAAAAAACCTAAGTTGATAGTTGAATTGCACATATATGTTTTATTATATGCTCAACAAGGGTATATGTGAGGCATGGGTTATATATGATATAAGACTGACTGGGTATATTATATTAGAAGCACTGCACGCACCTAAGACGAAGCAGCAGAAATAACAGGCCGGCGATAGCAGTGCCACTTGCAACGGTTTGGACTGTTTTTAGCAGTAATGGCTCCTTGGGGGAGAGCCATTTACCATCTTTCGTGTTGGAAGCATTTTGTGCCACAAGATTTCCCTCCATATCCTTTGGAATTGTGTCACACTGCGGGCATACAGAAGATAAACGAACAAATTAAAGCAAATTAAAGATTGGATTAGATCAGAGTAGACTTGTAGTTTAGCTACCCTTACGTACCTCATTAGGAACCTCAGGGGACTGAAGGATGTTTGCATCATTTGAGCCATTTAGAGCGGAGCTGGAACACTTGTCGTCGTCGTCTTCCATAGCCAAGATGACTTGATCATTAATCTCAAAAGAATTTACAGCAGCAGCAGGTACAACACAACTCTGATCTATGTCATCAAATTCCAAATTAAGGGCCCGGTCTAATATAGAGCTCACACTAGCTATGGATGATACTTCCAAGTCATCGTCCTCAATATCATCACAATTTGTTTTCTCATGTAAAGCCTGATGAGGACCCGATCTTCCCCGAAAAGAATCAATACCCGTACTAAAAAAGTTTAACATATTATCTTCTCCATCTCGCAACACAGGAGTATTATTATTTCCTTCATGTCCACCAATAACTGAATCAGACAAGGCTAGGTAATCAGAAATATAATCATTAAACTTGTTTGTGGATGAACAATAAGATTCTTCGGTTTCCTCCCCCGCACCCATATACTTGCTTTCTGCCTCATCGGAGCCTTCAGAACAGGAATCATAGTTTCTATCACAGCCTTCAATTAAATTTCTCTACACCACATACATTATAACGTTATGTATTATTACCAAATGCAAATCTAAAAGTATGAAAGCATTTATGGCTCAAAAGAGTAAACGAACTCATGTAAGACAATATAATATGTCTACCTGCCTAACTATCGATCTTTGATAATTGTACGAGGAGTTATAACTGGAGGAAGTTGAAATGCTACTCTTTGATGTCTCCAAGCTTCTTTTGATTCCACCAACCATATCTTTTGGCATTGCTACTGCACATGTTACCATATCGAAGTTGGGAACCTATAACGGTAAATGAGCTTACATCAACTGCTTTGTAATGAAACAGATTACAGAATACCCTGGCATAATGACATACCAAAGAAAACTTATTCCAACTTCTTTTTTTTTCTTACATTCAATTGTTTTGACCTGACTTTCTTCGAGACTGCCCTCACACAGATGCATACTTTCCGAGTATTTCCTTTTTCCACAACATCTGATGGCAAGAAGAGATCAATACCATCCAACCCCAAAATTTTGCAGATCTAGAACACAGGGAACACTGCTGTTTAGACATGAACTGTATATAATACCACAGAATAACACTGCTGGAAATTATGGAATTTCCGACCACCTGAAAGTGATCTTAAATCAAGTCGAAAGCAAAAAGTGGTCAGAAATAGCAACAAAGGTTTTTCTGGATACCAAAAGTCAAAACAAGGCTTTCGACTTGATTTAAGATCACTTTCAGGTGGTCGGAAATTCCATAATTTCCAGCAATGCAAGTACCACCAATAACTAACTAAAGAAGTTTCATGCAAACACCCTGCCTCCTTCTCTTCTCTACACACACACACACACTGATAAATCAGTCAAGGTTAATTGTCTTACCAGTGTACATGAATAAGATGGTTTACTAAGCTATATATGGAAAAGATAGTATGGAGAAACGAGAAGCTTTACCGCTAGGAATGAGTCAACATTAGAATATGGCATATATCTCCCACTTCTCTTCCTAGAACCTATTGGTTTGTATTTCAGGTGTCTAAGCTCTGCATATTTTGCTGTCAGCATATTCCAAATTACTTTAGAAACTTCACACCTACAAAAGTTGACAGAAATAAATATTATTGATGTAGTTGCAAAATTGTCTGCAGAACATGTAAAGGCAACCCAGTCAAAACACTACACAATCTTTTCTAGTGCGACTCACGTACCAATTGGGTGGGGCATAAATTCCAGCTGAGAAAATTTTTGTGCAGCAGCAAGATCTTATTGAGGTTATTCAAGCCATTAATTATGTTTTCAAACATATTTTTAAACAAGTTAATTATATGGTATGGTATGCTAGCTTTAATGATTTGAATAATGTGATAGCCTTGCTCACCTAACACTTCAATAATGGCAATGACCCTGTTTGGTAAAAAATTGGCCTATAAGCCAATTTTGGTTTATTTGACAACTATTAATTGTTTGATTTAGTTAAAATATCTGTTTGGTTAATTAGCTTTTTTCAACCTCAAAATGCTAAAATTCAAAAAGCTACTCCAAGTAACTTTTTCAATTAGCTTTTTCAAAAAAAAAAAATTATATCAAACAACTATCAGCTAACAAGTAATGTTATCAACTAATTAAACCCTCTAATTAACACAATCAGCTAACAGCTAATTGCTATGAGCTAACAGCCATTTACCAGCCAGCTAATGTTATCAACTAGGTTTCTATATATCTAGAAAGTGAAACAAAAATTGAGAAACCTAGCTATCATAATGTTGAGTTAACAAAATTGTAAGCACTAATGCTTTTACTTATTAGGACAACTTGTATCACTCCAAGGACATTAGTGTGGGAAATCAAGATAATTGCAGTCTAAATGGTTTTCTTATGAATTGATTCTTTCCTTTTCCTCATCTTCAAATTTTTCTGGGCATCAAAAGGGGTGAAAATAATAAATGTTACCAAACAGAAGAGGACTATCCAATAAACGATGCCCAAGAGGCCAAGAACTTACAGAAGGTCACCATCTGCAAGCAAATCAGAAATGGGTATTTGCTCATCCAATCTCATGTTTAGAACTTCCCCAAGCCATATTCTTGTTTGAGTCTGATTTAAAATCCACAGGAAAAAAAAAAAAAAAAAAAAAAAAAAAAAAACGAAATTGAAGGAAAATAAACATCTTTGAAATAGTAGCGAAGAATCTCTCTTTCAGTTCAGAGTTATTTGCAAAGAAATATACTAGTAAAGGACATATATACAGAATGGTACGTGATGAATAATATTAGACCTGCAAGAAGACATCGTCGAGCTCGCGGAAGCTGGATTGAGAAGCGCCGCCGGCGCCGCCACTCACCTCGAGGCGGCCCATTTTGGACTTCCCGCCCAAAGGAAAAACTTTGGGAAGGTGTGTAACTTGTGATGGAAAATAAATACATACAACAACTACTAGTCTACTACGTAGTGTCAGAGAAATAAAAGCAGATGGAGGTTGAAGAAAGGAAATTTTTGAGGTTGTCGGAACCGCCGCGTAGACGCGCTTGTGTACGGTGTCCACGGAACGGTGTGTGTGTGGACTGTGTTTTACTACATCAACAACGTTGAGAATTTCTTGCGTAGTTCAGAAACCCCAAAGACAAAATTCACACTGTCGGATAATCTTTTTGTTATTTCTAGCTTTATGCCACGCCACGCCTTTGTCCCTCCCATCATTATTGTGTGGACCATAATCCACAAAAGTTGTGTAGACTATATTTTGTAATTGTAAAATAATGTATATTCAGTACAAAAATAATATACATTCAGTATAAAAATAATATATTTTTTGTTATGGTATACATAACACTTTGTGGACCATAATCTGCCTTTTTCCCCTCTTTGCTCCATAAAAAAAAAATTAAAAAACAAAAAAAAGCCTTTTGAATAGAAGTTTAAGATAAAATCATAACTATATCGCTTAATTAATATATTTATTGTAAATGTAACGGTTTTTGTGGCCATTATCCTAACTAGTATTTTCACCCGTGCGATGCACGGAATTGAATTGTTGTAATATACTAAGAATATTTTAAATCGATATATAATTATTTAAGAGTTAATTTCACCAGTGGTCGCTTATAGGGTTTCTATTACCATCATTAATTATCCCTAATTTATCATAATTAAATAATTTGACCAATTATAAAGAGAGATTATTAAAAAATGCACGGGACAATTTTTTAAATAAAAAATTTAAAAATTCATTAATAAAACATAAGGTTCTCATAGTTATTTCTTAGAAACTATTTAATAAAGCATTTTTTTTAGAAATTGGTGGGCCAAACCGCCTACGGCTGTTTGCGGTGGATATATCTCGAAAAAATACACAATTTCAAAAAAATATTTGTCCAAAACTGACAACCGAGTCAAAAGTGTTCCATTGCCGAACTTTCGAAACTTCACAGCTTTTGCCCAGAATTATTGTACGAATGGGAAAGAAGAAATCTATATATTTTATTGGGAAGAGAGATGTTTTAGGAATTGGGCGGGAAGTTAAAATTTCAGGGTTTTGTTTTTATATATAGTATAGATTAGATGTGCAAAGAGAACTGTATTACACTATTTTATAAATTTAGAATAGAATTTTTACCCAGAGTTATTGTACGAATGGGAAAGTAGAAATAAAAATATTTTTTATTGGGAAGAGAGATTTTTTAGGAATTGGGCGGAAAGTTAAAATTTCAGGATTTTGTTTTTATATATAGTATAGATTAGATGTGCAAAGAGAATTGTATTACACTATTTTATAATTTTAGAATAGAATTTTTACCCAGAATTATTGTAGGAATGGGAAAGTAGAAATCAATATTTTTTATTGGGAAGAGAGATTTTTTAGGAATTGGGCGGAAGTTAAAATTTTAGGATTTTGTTTTTATATATAGTATAGATTAGATGTGCAAAGAGAATTGTATTACACTAATTTATAATTTTAGAATAGAATTTTTACCCAGAATTATTGTACGAATGGGAAAGTAGAAATCAATAAATTTTATTGGGATGAGAGATTTTTTAGGAATTGGAAGGAAATTTAAAATTTCAGGATTTTGTTTTTATATATAGTATATATTAGATGTGCAAAGAGAATTGTATTACACTATTTTATAATTTTAGAATAGAATTTTTACCCAGAGTTATTGTAGGAATGGGAAAGTAGAAATCAATATATTTTATTGGGAAGAGAGATTTTTTAGGAATTGGGCGGAAAGTTAAAATTTCAGGATTTTGTTTTTATATATAGTATAGATTAGATGTGCAAAGAGAATTGTATTACACTATTTTATAATTTTAGAATAGACTTTTTACCTAAAGTTATTGTACGAATGGGAAAGTAGAAATCAATATATTTTATTGGGAAGAGAGATTTTTTAGGAATTGGGCGGGGAGTTAAAATTTCAGGATTTTGTTTTTATATATAGTATAGATTTCCCGCTCTCATGTTTCCTACACTTCTAATTAATGTACATGTATATATATCAACGTTTGATAATGGGAATGATGGGGTTTTTGAGTTATGTTTCTATCTCTGCTCTCTCTATTTACTTTATTTGTATTTTGCTATCTTGCGATCGAGATTATACAACATCCACATGAGGATACTATCAAACTTATAACACGTTATCAGTAGGAGTGCTCTATGCATCTTCGCATAACGAACCAATTCTTCTACTTTGGTCGTGGATCTGCACTGACTGAGAAAGGCACAGTGGAGATGGACACCAACATCAAGACGAGGCTCTAGAAATCGAAAACCATGCGTATCGTATGACAACATACGGACGACTAAGATGATGATCGATCAACGTCCTGATTTGATTTCTCTCCCGTTGGATCCCTGGCCTGACTTCCACGAGGATCTTCCTTAGATCAGCACTTTGATCTGATCAACCCCACCCATCCTCCACTGATGATCTATAAGTGGTCGATCTGTTTGCAGCGGATCTGTAGATGGCAGACATTTTAGTCGCAGATATGTACATGCTCTACTGGTTTTTTTCCAATCGCAATTCCATGATCGCCCGATGATAGCAGCAACAACAAGGCAAATTGGTGGATGCAGCTGCCTTTCTCTTCTCCCTCAATTGTTGCTTCTCCGGCCACCGCCTCCATCCCCTGTCTCGGACATTTAGCGCCGACAACCTCAGACTCCTCTCTCTAGCCGGCTGACGGATTTCCGACGATCAGGTTCAGTGATCTTCTCCGTCTCCTTGAGGTGATCACGAGGATGGCTGGTCGGCCTCTGGATCTTCTGGTGATTGACGAATAGGTGGCTCGACAGTCTTTAGAGACCTTGCGTCGCGCGGGCTACATCCGGTGGCCGGCAGCGATTTCATGTCTAGCGAACGGCAATCCAATTCCAAGGCCCGCCCAAACCTTTGTCGGGAGATCTCAGGTTGATCGCCATCAGCAGAGAGATTGTAACACCACGTGTTACGATCTTTAAGTCCGGATTAATTATGTAATTAATCCCGCTAAGAATAGTTAAAAAGGATTTAATTTAGTTAGCATCTCCTTAATTAATTAATGTGGTCCACAATGGACCGTGGACCCTTGTCTATATTAAAGACCTTAAACCTGCTAGGAATAAAGCGAGTAGACCTTCTACTATTCAGATTCAAATTTGGAATCCTAAACCTATATATCTGTTAGGAATAAAGAAAGTAGGTCTTTACTACCCAGATTCTAATTAAGGATCCCTAACTCTATAAATAGGGGATTAGAAAGCAATTAGAACCCTTACCACCCATAATTATGTTACACGAAATTATTCTCAAGAGACTGGGCAAAGAGATTCCCCACCACCAAGCTTAGGGAGATCAATCGGAGGGAAATCTTAGGGAAGAACCTTAATAGCCAAGGGAGGATTAATGCATGTTCGGGTGTTGAGTCTATCCTAGGACTTGTATTTAGGGCTTTGCATATAGATTTTTTGATGTTCTTGTGGTTCCGGATGCTCCTGAACCGTTATGTGATTGATGTTGAGTCTTAGCATGTTTAACGATCGTGTTAAGACGTAATTGGAATGATTCTTGGTTTAATCTTCGTTAATTGAATCCGTGATATTGTTGTTGCGTGTCAGAATGTGTATGGACATGGTTTTGGGTTCCACGAACGAACCCCGAACCGAGAAATCTACCTTCGTGCCAGTGGGGGGTAGGTGGGGGGATGAGTCCCCACCACCTACCCGCTGCCCATACTGCCCGCCAGGCACCCGCTGGAATAAGGACGCCATCGACGGGTGGCCGGCGGGTGGTCCACCACCTACCGCCTACCCGCTGGAATGGCGTGGTGTGGCGGGATGTTTTTCCCCGTTTGTTGTTTCCCCGTGTCCCGTTGTACCCCGTTTGACGTGTATGAGTCTCGTATGATGCTTTGAGTACCGTTCTAGGAATTTATGTGTAGTGCGTATTGTTGTTATTATGTCTTGATTGTTATTGTTGATTGATTGAATGGTGATGAGTGTTGTGGTCATTGCGCAATGATCGATGTGACTGATGAGAATGAGATTGTGATTGGTGGAAATGAATTGTTGGCAGAAAGCACAACGAGTGCTCGGTTATCGTGCTAAAGGCACGGACCACCCCTTAGACTTGCTGGCTAAAGGCTTGAGTCAGGGTATAAGCACCGCGGTGTCATGTTAGAACTATATGCGATGACATCTTGGTAATGGTGCTAGAGGCACGGACCATGCAAATGACACTTCGGTGCTACCATGTTGGTGGACTTGTTGGTGATTATGGAGTGGGGCATGTAGTTGCTCCGGAGGAATAAGGGAGGCGATATAAGGGTGGCCTGGAGGTACAGGTTGGAACTAATATAAGGATGGAGAGGAGTAAATGTTGGAACTTGGTATAAGGTTGGAAGATGGATTGTGTGCTTTGATAATTACTTGCTAATTGATTGTCTTTGAATCCCATTGTTGCCTCTATTTGTTATTTATGAGCTTACTTGTATATTATGCCTTGTCTTGTGTTCTAAGGATGCATGCTAGTCTTTATGATTGTTCTATAGTGTCAAGTCTATTGTTGTGTCTTGAGTCTTGATGGCTGTGACGGCGATCCGGACGTCCGATCATAGAACTGATGAAATGGTTGGGGTCTCCCCTTCCCTAAGATTACTCGACGGTGGCCAGATTGAGGATCGGTCGCCAAAATTTTTCTACGGTGGTGGTGCGCAGCTTGAGATTTTCTGGCGTACTGAGCCGACGGACAAAGAGGGGGCTGGTGGCATTGGCTAATTTGTCTCCCATTCAGCTTCAATTCTTGCAGTAGATGCATGTGGAGGTTTCGTCGTTTGTTCCTAACCAATTTGTTCGCAGTCGCGTTGTTAGACGACGACTGCCGACATCCGCAATGATTGAAGTTGGATCCCCTGGCGTGTACCTAAATTTGATCTGGGGAGATTTTGGCCATTTTTCTCCCCCAAATAGCCATACAGGTTCCATTGTGGCTGGCAGTGGCCTTGAAGAAGAGAGGGAAATGCACAATCAGACCTCCTGAATGGATGTTAGTTGTTACTGATCGATGTTGATAAGTGCCAAAGACACTTAGTTTTGAGGTCTATTAGGGGTGTAATTTGAGCTCAATTATGATCCTTTGTGTACCATTTTG